GAGTCATAGTTAGCCCAAGGATAGCTCCCACACCAGGACAGTTAGCCTGATATCTTTTTTAAATTGTAATTGAAAGAGAAATTGTGTCATCAAACACTCGACATCCTTAATAATGTTAGTAACTTTACTTGCTGTGTTATTGTTAGTACTGTATCATAATAATCATGATATTGGATTTCTCAGACTTGTTTACCACACCTTTAAGTAACTCGAAGTGTTTTTGGCTCCAGAGTAAAGACAGCATTTTCTTGAGGTCTAAATGTTTTACTGTCTAACTCTTAATGTTCCTGTTCCTCCATTTCTTTCAGGGTCTAAGAAGAAGACAAAGGTCATCAAGAACAACCCTAACCCTGTTTGGAACGAGGTATGTCCTCCTGTACACAAACTCTAGTTCATTTTTTGCTATTTAGACTACATATTTACATATTTTACTTTTACCCAGTGCCTGAATTGGACCAAACGAACTAAGCGTTGCGGAGCAGACACTGTGCCAAAGTGCTTAAGGGAAGTAAGATACAACAGCAGTTTGATAGCCAAAACTCTGCTGCAAACTGATCTTGCGTTTGACAGCCTGTAGCTTCCTGTCTTCAACAAGAGAAGAACGAGATGCCCTCAAGTATACGCGACCGCCGCCGCCCGTTACGCCTTTATCTTAGTCACTTTTAACAACCAGGCACGAGCACATGCAAACTCCAGACATAGAACACACCTTCACCATGCTGTTGATCAATACTACTGCAGTTCCCACCTAGAACAAAGCACATAATAGCCCATCCCAGTCTATGCTGCAGATCCGCTGGTAATTCATTTGGTTTGTGTGATCATACCCCAGCATTCACTGGCCCCGCCCGGTGCTTCTTCGCACATAACATACGCGCGCACTCTCTCAATGTTTACCCCCCGATTTCAGGCAAGGAGTTATAAAATATGTAAACAAGAAATCGCCCTTAGAGGGAACTGGATGGGTGGACCTCTCTAGCCCCTGCCTCTCTCTCGCTCCTTCTTCTCTCCCTCACCGCCTCCTCTGGCAGGCACCATGGACGATATCCGAGACACTCACGTCCTGGCGTTGGGTACCATGGCCGCAGCACAAGCGCCGGCTCCGCCAGCCTAACCTCCGGCTCCGTGACCGCGCACCCTTGCGCGCTGGTCCAACATAGGAGTTTCTTGTCTTCGCTCATGGCCGGTTGTTGGATCACGGACCACGACGGCCCAGGCTTTCGCTGCGTTTGTACCTATCAAAAGTGGTCCAAGGAGGAAAAGAGCGTGAAGCGGAGACAGGGTCTTGGGGGCCAAGGCTGCATTGATGCACTTGGGAAGCCTAAGGCTGGCCTGGCTGTGGTCCAATCCTCAACAGTTAGCTACTGTAGCCCTCAAAGACCTGCTGGAAAAGTTCCACTGCTGGTTTATGCATACGAAGCTGTCAACCACCACAGTGCCG